ACTTTATATGGCAACTTAATGCTTAGGGGTGGACGCACCATAGGAACAAGATCTGAGCTACTGGAGAAACCGTTGCCTCTCTCCAGAACGAACCGTCCTTCATCTTCTTTATAATGAACAAAAGTGCTGCCTAGATTTGGAAGCATCCACCTAAGTGGAAGCTCCAAACATATAGCAGAAGATTGCCCAATGCAGCAAGCTGGAGTGAAATCAACTTCTCGAACCCAGTAATTGTCAGAAGCTTCCTTTTTCTTGTTCTTCACAGGGACACCTTTCTTATAAATCCGAGGGGCACCGCGTAACTAGCAGGAGAAAGAAGGAAAGGAAGAGAAAAATGTTAATAATCTCCCCCCCAAAGAGCCACACATAATATAGTAATTGCTTTATGTTTAGGAAGATCAAAGGCTGTTTCAACAGCATTCAAAGCAAGTATAGAAAGGATGCATGGCAGATTAATATATACTCCCAGGGGAACCAAACCTTGATGAGAAGAAACTTTGCAAGTTGATCACATGGACTATGTAGCTCAATCTGGCGAACATTGTCATAGGAGATTTCTAGCTTATATTCAACAGAATCATAAGAGAAAAAAAAGTAGAAATGTTTAAGTATCATCCCAAATTTCACCGAAACATCGGATAGTGTCCAAAGCACAGAAAACCGTTCCTTAGAAATCTGGCATCCAAAGTGCAGCTTTACAAGTTCCATGCTAGGTTGAAAGGTTTGTGAATCAGGTACCATGTCAAACTTCATTTCTGTAGCTTTCACATTTGATTTCCCATACCGCACGTTTCGTCGAAGATGATCTCCGGCTAATGTCAGCATCATTTCAGCAAACTCTGCATGTGTGAATTGAACCATGGCAGATGCTCTTGTTTTTCCATCTTTGTGGAAGACCTTCACAGCATAAACAGTGCCTTTTCCAGTATGTTTCTCCACAAACTCTGTCACTGCTTCTGGGGACTGAACAGAGCAAAATCCATACAACTCAACTGTCTTAACCATGTTGACTAATTGACGGCAACTTGTGTATCTGGGAAAAATAATTGAAATTAATAGCTGTGAAGAACTAAAGTGAAAGTAAAATCCAAAAGAAAAAAAAAAGAAGCTAATGCAAATGAGAGAACGAGTCTCACCCTGAATTTGAAATGTAAGCACTCAGATACCACCAACTGCTAGCTATGTGAGAAGAAAATTCATTAAGCCCATGAAGCCACTATATGTAGAAAGGAGAAGAGGACAGAGGTGTGAGAGATTCTTAGCCTTTGAGTCCATCTCACACAGAGTAAATAACTTGTCATGGTAATTCTAGCAGAATAAAAAAATAATAAATAATATAAAAAAAACTTGTCAAGGCAGTTATTCCATGTGTGTTGCAACGAATATAGAGCAACGAATGTCATGATTCCCTACTTCGCGGTAATAACATTATAAATGTTCCTTCCTGATGTGAAGATCACGTGACGAGGTATCAAAAAAGGGTAGTGATTTTCACGTTCTCATTGTATCCATTCGCATACCTTTTCCTTTACTTTTATACTTTGGTGATTGAGTAAGCAAAAGAAAAATCAAAATATAAAAACAAGGGGATGAGTGCAAATGGACAGAATGAATCAAATTGGTTGTTTTTAGAATACTTGGGATATTGTTGTTAAGAGTTTATTAATCAAATTGGTTTTATACCGTTTTACTCTTGACTGGGAGGAGGAATCAGATGACTTCCTTTCTAAAAGCAGTACTAGGCTAGACTACTTTTTGGAAAGATGGAACTTGCTCACTAAGGTAAGATAGATGGAGCGGTCCACCACCCACCACGAAAATTCTAATCCTCCTAGTTAGGGAGAGAGGGCTGTTTTGAAATTGCATTGGGATTTGCCAAGAAACTTCTGCAAATTTTGGACCTAAAGTGAATGGGAATAGTAGCATCTTGTATTTTACGGTTAGATAGATGCCTCAAACGCATTGAATAACCTCTCCACATGAAGGCCACTGTCAAAACTTAACAGAAATTGAAACGTGTTCTTGAATTGCTCAAATTGAAATTATAAGGATAAAATTAAAACCACGATGACTAAAATGATAAAACCGACAAACTACAGAGAAAAAAGAAGAAATAATAAACAACTATGAACCCAAATGGGCCGGCCCACATTATGTGGCGGTGGAGTCCATTACGAATCCACCACCACCCGCCATCGCAAACCGAAACGAATTCAGACATTCCAATCAATCAAATTCAAACAGAAGAAGAAGAAAGCTAAGTCACAGCCAACAATCTCAATCCTGAAATTGCAGAAATGGCGGAGGAGGAGACGAAGAAGAGAAGTGTGGTGGTGGAATCCTTGGGATGGCTAACGGAATCTTCAATTATGCCCAAGAAGCACCGCGCCATCGCCGGCGTCGGAGCCTCCTCGATAATGGAGCTCAAGGCCCAACTCTATAAGTCGCAAGAAGACTCCAAGAAGTCCAAGGAACTCGCCGGCTCAGAAGTCGAGTTCCACCGCGCCAAGAAGAAGATCACCTCACACGATCCCTTGTCCGCCAAGAACTCCGGCGTCGATGCCCGGGCCCACAAGTACGTATTTTTCTTTCTTTTTACGCAATTTTTGTTTCTGGGTTGAATTTCCATTTCCTTAATTATGCGTAATGTGCTAGTATTGGTGTAATTCTGGGTTAGGGTTCATTTTGGTATCTAGGGTTCTTACTGTTGTCTGAGTATAAATTGTGAGTCTTTTGGGTGCTGCTTAGATATAAGATGAAGTTTTTGAGCTCTCTGTTTTGGAAGGTTTGAATTTTATCGTCCGCTGCCAACAGTTTCTTGTGCTTCTTACAATATGAAGAACTTTAAGGATAGTATCCCTAGTCTTTAATTTGGCATCCTGCTAAGATCAATTTTGTGTTTTTGTTGGTTTATATTCAGAGACAAGCTTGAGCTCAAAGCAATTAATGATGGATCAGCTAGCTATGCAGCATTGGAGAGGAAGGCCGCATTGTATGATAAGCTAGTAAAGGGGGAGCTATCTGATGAGGAAGATAAGGAGAAGTATTGTGTGGATTTTTTTTGCAAGAGAGTTGACCAGGACGAACCGCAGCAAACTCAGCATCATGATTCGCCTGCTGTAGTGTCTTCGGAGAATCAAGATGGTGAGAGTGATGCTTCCATGCTGTTTAGCATGAAACCGTTGGGGCTTGGGCGAGCAGCTGCAACAATGGACAATGACGTTTACAAGAGTTTCGTGAGGTAACAATTTCAAATTATTCCGGTATAACTTATCTATGCTGTATGAAAGTTTAGTTAACCAAAAGTAATCAAATAATTGAAGGATTTCATCACTTCAGTGTATTTTTGCTATTGTTATTCTTCAGTGATGCCACTTTATAATAATCTGGAGACTTAAACAATTAGCCACTGTAATTTGGTTGTTGCTGCTGTTACTCATCTAAGCCTCTAAGGTGAAGTGGTTGAGCAGAGACTCATATTTGGGCTGCGGGTTGGGTAGTAGAACTAGAATCTCACTGATATTGATGAGTTTCTTAAGCTGAATACTTTGCACCTCTCTTATTCCTGTACAATGTCTTGAGTGCCAGGCCATGGATAGAAAGATTCCCTGCAGGAAATGAGCTGAATAAACGTGGGTTTGAGACTGCTAAAGGATAAAATAATATAGCTTTAGACCTAAGCTTTAGAGACAAAAGCTAGGAATCTGGTTCATCAATAAATGAAAGTATGATTTGGCTTAGGCTTTTTTCTCCCATTTTACTATTTGTCTGTTTATTAATGAGTTTCTCCATTTGTGTAGTATGTTTCTTATTGCTTGATTCTAATCCTTCATAGTTCTGGCAACGGATGCTGATTGCTTGATTGAAATCTCTATGCTCCTGGCAACAGTCATCTCATGATTTTCACTTTTGTGTTCCTTTTCTTCAGGGAAGTACACGAAGAAGCAAATGTAGCAAGAGAGAAGGCATCTGAGCTCAAACAGCGCAGGGAAGAGCAAGCAGCGGCTCGTCGTGAGAAGTTAAAACAGGCATATATAAGGAAACAGTTGGAGAAACTGAAAGCGGCGTCCAACAAGGAACAGACATAATAGGCAGCAGGAGGCGATTTCCACAACATTATTCTAGCAGTCATCTTGAACTCAAAACGAGCATAACCATGTGAGAGTTTGTGAGTCCTGTTGTTCACTTCAGGGTTACTATTTAATAGGAAGGAAAAAAAAAATTCAATCAATTTAATCCCACAAAGTGGCTCTGGTTGTAGTTTCTTCATGTTTGTACTTCTGTACAGTTATTAACATTACAAGAAAATTATCATTAAGTCTGAAGCGAGATTGCTAATTCAGAATCACTTTTTCAGTTTAACCTATGTGTCTTCTGAATTTTGGGACAATATTGTTACTCATGAAGATTTGGACAATATTGTTACTCATAATTTGTTTGGTAGCAAAAGAAATTAAAGATATAAAAATGTAACAAATTTGAGGGAAACATGATAGTGTTGGCATTAAATGTTGAATAAATGATGTGAGAAAAAAAAAAAAAGTAATGTCAGAAGTGGGATTTGAACCCACGCCCTCTTTCGAAGACCAGAACTTGAGTCTGGCGCCTTAGACCACTCGGCCATCCTGACTGTTTGATACAATGCTTCAGAATAAAGAATTTAAGTAGGTACAATGGCAGTACAATATAAAAGTACAAATATCGAAAAAAGAAGCCATGAACGACTCTGCTGGGGATCGAACCCAGAATCTCTGGTTCCGTAGACCAGCGCCTTATCCATTGGGCCACAGAGTCGCTTGTTGGTATCCTAGCTTTGTAATCATATTTGTGGTAAGATAGAACCAAGGCAAGTTAGTTCACAACCCTAAAAAAAATCATACCTTTAAATGACTAATATCGTTGTAATTACCTTCAATTAAACTTATTCTTCTTAATGAATTTTTTTTTTCGATGAGGCAGATAAATAAAAGAAGGAAAAAAAAAGGAGTAAAATGGTCAAAATTCAACTTAATTAAACAAACCCCACCAAGAAAAAAAACATAATATAACATAATTAAACAAAGCACTAGCTATGCATGCATTAGAAATTGAATAGCTCTACGTGTCCTGCATGCACATTACGGACACATCCACCGCAACACCAAAACCTATGCCTCCTCGCCACCTTTCACCACAGCCTCCTCTTCCACCTCCACCTCTTCATCATCCACCGCTTCCCTCGCACTAAACGACAAAGACTCCCTCCTCACCAAGAACCTCCCTGTTGGCGGGACCCAAAGGTTCAGCAAGCCGTGGGGCCTACCGGACGGCCTCCACACTTGCACCGTCATGCACTGCACCGGATTATCCGCCGGCTCCCGCTCGTCCCCGCCCTTCAAAACGTCGCACAGCAGCACCCGGGCGCTGCCCACCGGCTTCTCCCTCACGCGCCCGTGCGCGTAGATGTCCACGTTCAGCGCCGCTAGCACGTCGTTCTCCAGCAGGTCCTCCCGGAACTTCACCTTGACGACCTCGTTCCACGTGGGGTTGGTCCCGCCCTGCTCGTCCACGCCCGTCCTCGCCGCGTGGTATTCCTTCTCCACGTACACCACCGCGTACGCTCTCACCTGCGTCACGTGCTTCACGTTCTTCAGATCTTGCGCCGAGATTATCAGCACTTCTATTTCTCGGAGCTTTGTTCTCGACGCCGGCACGACTCGCCGATATTTCGGCTGACAGTGACTCATTTCTTAGTCTCTAGAGAGAGAAAGTAGAGAGTTGTTTTTTGGTTCAAAAGAAAGTAGAGAGTTTGAGCTCACTGAAATGGATGTTAGTGGATAGTAAGTGGCTTTGTAAATACGTGTGATTAGTCAAGTTGATAAAGCGAATGAATTCTCACTTTGAACTGGAGTTCGAATTTCTTTTAAATTAAATTAAAATAAATTATCGTTTGTATAAAAATAAATATAGTAAATGAGCTTTAATTTGATAGGCCCAATTTCTGGTATCTTCCAATATGGGCTTTAACGATGGGCTCAAATTCTAGTAACCATCCGACTAATTACAGAATTATTATTGGGCGACAGCCGCTCAACACAAACTCATAGCAGCTCCTGAAAATGGGCTTTAATTTGGATGGGCCCATTTGCTAGTATGTGGGCTTTAATTTGTGGCCCAAAAGACCCTAATAAGATGTGTACAGCACAAAGCTCAAAATGTCACATGCATGGCACTGAAAATTATTCAAATATTCTAAGCAACTGTCTGGAAAGAGTGATTCTGCTAATCTTGCAATTTGAAAGACAGGCTGGTACAGGATTTAAATGAAAGGGCACAACACCACCCTCAAATGATTTTGTTTGTGGTTAAAGCAACATAATGTGGCAGCTGGCAGATTATTATTGGCTTAACTCCATAAAACCCTCCCTATAAAACCCAATTAAGCATTCTCATTTTCATCAAACCAAAACCATAACCCACTTCTACACTTTTGCTTATTACAGGTCATTAGCACTGCCTCGTTACTTCTAGTTGCTAATTGAGAATTAGTGATCAGAAAAAATGGAGGGTTGCAAATTTGCCATTGTTTTCACCATCTACATGATTGTTCTTGTGAGCTTCGCTTCTTTCGGGGCCACAGTTGCTGCTGAAGATGCTGCTGCGCCATCACCAATGGAAAGCACAGCAGCAGCTCTGGGTGTTCCTGCTGCACTAGGTGCCATGGCTTCTCTGCTGGCTTGGTTCTTTTAAACTTGTTCATTTGATTCCCTTATTTGCTTGTTCATTTCTTTTTGAAGTGCCGTTCAATAAATGAACTAAATTTGATTCAAGAAATCATGTCCATAATGTTACTACTTTTGCCAATTATTGTTAGATTTAATGTCAATTCTTTCATCTATGTTAAGAAAGGAAGACAATGGAACAATAATCCGTTGCCAGATCCATATATACCAAAGTAACTAAAAGAAATGATAATGCAAAAGGAACATTATAGGCAAGCACATATATATCTTCCATGAGATACTAATATTTGGAATACTAAAATTTGGGATGCTAATAGGCCAACATAATAATCTGGAAGCAAACTCAGTGAGTCAAAGGTCACCGTTGCTTGATGGAGCCGAAAAGATCCTCATATGAACGCTTCGGGGCATCAGGACGCGAAACAATCTCCACAACCTTGTAAGATGCTTCAGGATTTACTAATGCCTCTATAGCTACTTCTGCAACCAGATCTCTGGAGATACTGCCATCAGAAAGAGTGTCCTACCAAGAGAGATCAGAAAGAACATTAAGTTAAAACAATTCAGCATTTAGTAACAAAACTAAATGAGGAAAAATTATCACAGATTGTATTTACCTCTGGCTCCATCACAAGGTTTCCTGTGGGAGGATCATTTTTCAACCCCCCAGGCCTTATTATTGTATAGTTTATACCAGATTTCCTGATATATTGCTCTGCCTGAAGCTTTGCTATTAAGGTCAGTCCAAAAACATTAAGGAATATGTAAGCTGGATTGAGAATCTGCCCCATTGCTGCTCCGTTGACTAAGATGGAACTGACAAGAATAAACCTGTTCACACCAAGTTTACGGCACGCTTCAACAAGGTTGACTGTGCCAAAATTATCAACCTGTATTGTATTGAAATAACTTTTTTCAGACATCAACGCATTATCAAATAGCACAAAGTACACCAGAGAAAAAACAAATGCAGATGTGCAATTCTAGGACTATCAAATATCTGAGTTGTGCATATATAGAACCATTAAATATTAGTGGCATACGAACAAAAATCTGTATTGAAGTAAAGGCAAAGTGTGAGCTCGTTTTCCACTAGATGTTTGAGCAAGGCCTTCAATTACTAGCCAGAGGCTAATACTCCGGATTCCACAAACATATATTTCAAGCATCACTCAATCGCTAAGATAAAAGTAATGCAAACAAATGTATCCTAGGGAGGTGCAATGAACTGCCACATTGCTATAAGATTGTATACCAAATCTGTTTTCTTCTGCAGGTATCAACTCAGCCTCAAATAATAGGTTGTGCAAACTTTACGTTTAACTACCCGTAAATGTCTAAAGTGAAAATCTTATGATACATACCGATTAAAAAACAAACACGTAATAACTTAAAATCCCATGAACGGTGACTCTTCTAATGAAGAAGCTGTCTTTCCTGACCCGAACCACTGTCTGATGGCACAGTCTATGAACCTTGTTAATCATCAAGAGAGGCCTCATTCAATCAAAGTTTTCCACTAGACGTTACTTTCTTGGATAAAGATTAGACAACTAGAACAATACATCATGAAAATCAACCTACTTTAGCTATTCACCTGCTCTCGGATAAAGATTACACACCAATATGCATTTAACTCCTAACAAAATCTACCAACTCACAACATTTGGTTAAGATTGAACTTAAACAAATAACCCCTTTGCATAATTACCTCAATCGAAAATTAAAGGACTTCATAAAGATAAAAGTTGCACCACAAAGTGAAGGAAATAGATGCTAATTGCACAGATAAACAATCAAAGTGACCTTCCATGGAGCAAACAAATCCCATCCATAGCTAAATCCTGTGGCACAAATTACTGCTTCAGAATCATCACTTATTGCTTCTGCTAGCTTGGCAGAACCCTCTGTCACATCTGCTTTCACCTATACAAACAAACACAAGAAATCATTTCATCCAAAACCCAATAAAGTAATAATTCCCCAAAACAGAAGAGACCCAATTAAGTTTCCAGCATGACAGGATTTCCAATTTTGAAGAAACTCACAATTTGAAGAGCTGGGTTGTCTTGGGGAAGGCTAGCTTTGGCTTTCTCCACGTTTCGAACTCCAGCTTTAACTGCAAACCCCTTAGCCAGTAGCTGCTCAACAATTCTTTTACCAGTATTTCCAGTGGCTCCAGCTACAAAAAATTTCTTCTTCCCAACTACATTGGTTTGAGTTGTCTCAGTAATTTCCTCTGTGATTTCATCTCCTTCCATCTGAAACAGAGTTCAACATAGTAATACTAACATTAAGGGCATTCTTCAACACTCAGTTATAGGACCAATACAAAAGGGTACAGTATAGAGAGAGAGAGAGAGAGAGAGAGAGAGAGAGAGAGAGAGAGAGAGACCTGAGTGGAATTAAGGATGGGAAAGGACCTGGTGTTGGTGGGAGAGTAGGAAATTAGAGACAAGGGTTTGGTTGAGGTTTTGGCTATGGAAAGAGGAGGGCAGAGAAGATGGTGAGTGCAGAGACGGAGAGGGGGGTTCCTGAAAATGAGAGGCAGAGGAGCTGCCATTTGCTTTATCTTACAGTCTTAACACTTACTTATTTCTTTCTTGTCCTCCAAGCCCAAGTCCAAGTTCCAACCAAAACGGTCCCTGTCTTTGCATGACATTTGCGGTGTGAAACTGTGGGTCTGCAAACTTCCACATCAGTGTTTTTCCTTTGCTACGTTTTATTTTTATTTTTGTTTATTTATTTTGTCTGCCGCTATATCATAAATACTAAACTTTAACCCGTTTAATTAATAGAAAATAGAAAATTTTATAAATTCAAAATCCTTAATCTTAAAACGCAAAGGAACCTCGTTTTTTATGGAGGCAGCATAATGTAGCAGCTGATAAAGCCAAAGTACAAGCAGATGATCCTATGAAACTATGTGAAAGGCCACACCAGCCTCAAATGATTTTGTTTGTGGTTAAATAAAACAACATAATGTAGCAGCTGGCAGATTCTTCTCAGTAGCCAACTCCACTGACCTCCCTGTAAAACTCACTCTGCATTCTCATTTTCGTCAAACAAAACCAAAACCCACTTCTAAACTTCAAGTTTATAAAGAACTAGTAATCAGATATGCAGGGTTGCAGAATGGCCATGGCTTTCACCATCTACATCATTGTGCGTGTGAATTTTGCTTCTTTCAAAAGTGACCGTTGCTCTTGGAGATGTTGCTGGGATATCTGCCATCATCAGAAAGGCTTCTGAAAAATGGGATACTACTGTGCCAACATATGTTTTGGAATCAAACTCAGAGGTCACCGTTGCGTAATAGAACTAAAAAGATCCCCATATGAACGCTTGGGGGCACCGGCACATGCAACTATCTCTACAACCTTGTAAGATGCCTGGGGACGAACTAATGCTTCAATAGCTACTTCTGCAACCTGATCTCTGGAGATTGTGCCTTCATAGAGAGTGTCCTACAAAGAAAGATCAGAGAGAGCATTAAATCGAAACAACTCAGTTTTTAGTACTTCACAAGATTTAGTGGGAAAATTCATAAAGTCTGCCTAAAATTTGTATGGATTACCTCTGGCTCCATCACAAGGTTTCCTGTTGGAGGCTCATTTCTCAACCCACCAGGCCTTATAATCGTATAGTTCATACCAGACTCCCTAATATAATCCTCTGCCCGAAGCTTTGCTATTAAGGTCAGTCCAAAAACATTAAGAAAGATGTAAGCTGGGTTGAGTATCTGCCCCATTGCTGCTCCATTGACTAAAAGGGAACTCACAAGGATAAACCTTTTCACACCAAGTTTCCGGCACGCATCTACAAGGTTGACGGTGCCCAAATTATCAACCTGTAGTGAAATAACCTTTTTTCAGACTGCATAACGTTAACATCAATATCGACAAGTGCACCAAAGGAAAAATGCAGACTTGCAATTCTAGGACTATAAAAAATCTTACTGATATTCGCATTTCAAATTGCATTGAAGCAAAGAAAAAGTGGCTAGCCAAAGGCTAAGACTTTGAGTTTCACCAACATAAATTTTAAGCATCAGTCGACACATGTATTGTAGGGAGGTGTAATCAATTGAAAAGTGGCTATAAGATTGTGTAGCAGAGACTTGTTTGCAGTTATCAGTTTACCTCAAGTAAAAGGTCGTGCAACCTTAGGGTTCCATGAATGTTAATATATACCGCAAATATTTAAAGTGAAAATCTTAAGATATCCATTAGAAACATGCATTCATACATCAGTCAAAACCAATGATACACTATATAATGATTTTGCTCCATATGTGAAATGGGAATAGATGTTAATTGCACAAATACAGAATCAAACTTACCTTCCATGGAGCATACAAATCCCATCCAGAGCGACATCCCGTGGCACAAATTACCGCTTCTGAATCGTCACTTATTGCATCTGCTAGCTTGGCAGAACCCTCTGTCACATCAGCTTTCACCTACAAACAAATACATGAGGCCAAATACATTAAACATTCCCCAAAACAGAAGAGACCCAATTGAGTTTCCAGCATGAATTCATGTCTGCACTTGAAATTCTCAAGAAACTCACAATTTGAAGAGCTGGGTTGTCTTGGGGAAGGCTAGTTTTGGCTTTGTCCAAGTCTCGAACTCCAGCTTTAACTCGAAAACCTTTAGCCAGTAGCCGCTCAACAATTCTTTTGCCGGTACTTCCAGTGGCACCGGCCACAAAAATCTTCTTTTTTCCAATGGCGTTGATATAGATTTCAGTTGCTTCAGTAGCTTCCTCTGTAAAGCCACTCCCTTCCATCTGAAAAAGGAGATAAACACAATAAGCTAACACCGGCATTGATGGCATTCTTCAGTTTTAGTACAAATTAGAAGAAAAGAAAAGGAAACAAAAGAGTACAGCAGAGAGAGAGAGGTACCTTGGTGGAATCAGAGGTGAGAAAAGACATGATATTGGGGAGAGTGTTGGAGATTGCAGAGAAGAGTTTGCTTGTGGATTTGATTATGGAAAGAGAAGGAGGGTAGGGAAGGCTATGGTTGCTGTGGGAGCAGTGAACAGTGGAGAGACGGCGAGGAGGGTTCCTGAGAGTGAGAGGCAGAGAAGGGTTCCTACTTATTTCTTGCCCTCCAAGTCTAAACAGCCTGCTGTCATTGCATGCCATTGCGCTGTGGCTGTGGCTCTGTAACTTCATTCTCCTTGCAATGGCTTCGCTCTTGCCTTCGCTTCATCACGTTCCAGTTCTGCGCTACGTTGAACAACTACTTTCTTTTCTTTTTGGAGGTTTATTTTTTCTTTTACTTTAACGGCAATAATCATTATTTTCAAATCCATCAAATTGAATTAACCCTAATTCCTGACTTGACATCTTGTCAGCATGTTTTCTTTCTGGTCCAAAGCCCATGTTTTCTGTTTGGTCCTATGCCCACTCCTCGATACTAAATCCTCGGTTTTTGTTTTTGTTTTTCTGAAATAGAAAGTCTTCACTTACATAAAAATGAAGGAGATGAATAAATTTCATATCTAAAATAACACCCCAAGGAATTTTGCAAACTAATTGGTTTTAAATTTCTTAAAAGCAAAGATGCATATGGCATGGGCCATACGGCAGTGCAGCATTACTTCATTTTTTTCCACCTTCAATAAAGCGTTCTGATGAACATTTTTAAGGTCACAAATTTGTGCATATGTTATAAAGCCAATATGGAGAAATGTTTTTTAAGTTACAACTCAAGCGAGAGAGCAAATGGATTAACAGGGCAAAATAGATGATCCAAAGATTACATCACTAAAAATCTACTTCTAAATTTCAAGTTCAAGAACCACGGGCAAAGCAGATACATCACGGCCAACAGCAAAAGTACAAAAGATATATGTTCCCCTCCAAAAGTTTGACGTTTCCGCTGTGTTGTGAAATTCTGCTCCCCCTGAAATTTCATTACTTTATCAAATTCAAAAAGAGTATCCTATTTTGGGGGAAGTACATTCGTTTGAAGTAATAATCCACTCGATACATACCTTCCATTACATGTTGCAGGTGATCCTTTAGCAACTCATGATAGTATCATAAACACTGTTCCATCGCTTACCATCACTATGTTATTGGCTTGAAGTTCCTGGAAATTATGAAGTTGCTGTTATTATTTTTCCTTTTCTTTAGCAGGCAACTCACGATTCATATTAAAGCAAACTGGACATAGGCATCATCATACACAAGATACAAGCTCAAAAAATTACGAAATGAGGAATAAAAAAGTCATGATGTTGTTATAAACCTCAAGACTGAAGATACCACTTTTGATTATAACATTTCTTCCAATGAATTCAATGATTGAAAACTTTACCTGTAACAGCAATGTTATTTCTGCCCTAGAGTAACGGAAATCTGCTCCGGCATTGACAACGTTCTCTAAGTCCTCAATGGATATGCTTTGTAACTTTTGTTTCATTAGTTGATTTACAGAATCATTAAATGCTTTGATTCTGCGGGCGGAGAGGGAATAAAGGAAAGTGAATTGGAATTAGAAACAGATAACTCAGATATGGAATTAACAAGAAAACAGAAGAGCAACTTTGCACTGCCAGGCAGACCTTTCAGGAGAAATATCAATAGCAGATTCGGCAGGAGGGTCATCGACTTCCATGGCATCAGTTGAACTAACACAGGGAAAACCAAGAGGAAATAAGTCAACTGAATGTTGTGAAGTTGACAGCACTACCAATGGCGTAATAAGGGAAAAGTGAAGAAAGGACTTACAGATACCATGGGGGCACAGTTATTACATCAGTTAATACAAACAGGCAATTTCCGAAGAAAAAAGAAAACACTTACCCTTCATTATTAGCAGTACCGTTGCCAGACCCATCATTCTGACCGGTGGAATGGTCAGCTCTGCAAGAACCAAGAGAGAAAGAGGTCAGCTGAAGGTTGTGAATTCAACAGCACTACAAATGGCGTAATAAGGGAAAAGTGAAGAAAGGACTTACAGATACCATGGGGGCACAGTTATTACATCAGTTAATACAAACAGGCAATTTCCGAAGAAAAAAGAAAACACTTACCCTTCATTATTAGCAGTACCGTTGCCAGACCCATCATTCTGACCTGTGGAATGGTCAGCTCTGCAAGAACCAAGAGAGAAAGAGGTCAGCTGAAGGTTGTGAATTCAACAGCACTACCAATGCTATTTAAGGGAAAAAGGAAGTTTCTGAAAAGTAAAAACTTACTGTTCTTCATTAGCAGTACCATTTCCAGATCCGTCATTTCCACTTGTGCGATGGGCAGCTCTGCCATTCCTCTCCAATTCTCTCTCTCTTTCTTGCTCCCGCTCCTCCATGTCAGTCAACTCTTTGTGATATATTGCAAAATTTAAAACTAGAAGAGCAGCATCAACATCAGACTTTGAAACCTGTGAAGGCAGATTTACCCTTTACCTTGACTTTGAACTCTGAAGAAACCATAATTCTGATTTCTGTGATAAATGAAAGAGCATAATGAACTAATCCTATTAGATCCTTATAAAATAATTAAAGTTGACAAGTCACCTTTCTGCTCAACTTCAATTTTGCATGAGCAGTTGAGAGACGAATGATAGTTTCTAAAGTTCTGGCAGTAATTGGAAGTGTTCCTCCAGTCTGAATAGCAAAGATAATATCAGGTGATAATCAGAAACAGACATTGCATTGATCATGTCTCATACGTACAGTGATGACAAATGCTGACCTTTGCATTTGAGCCGGCATTTCTGAGTTCTGCATATGCTGTTGCAATTTGTTCAGATGCCTATTGGGAAAAAAAAGTTGCTATTAGTTGTCAGATAACCTCATAATGCAATTATTGGTTGGGAAGACAAGTTCATAACTAACTGAAAAGGCTCCCTGCAAGAAGAGATTATTTGGTATGGCAGATTGCTAGAACAGGATCTGAAAATAAGCAACCCAATTGACGAGACAAAGGGAAAACATAGACATCTCATTAAGTAAATAAATTAACAAGTAAAGCATTAGCACCTCATCAGTCAGATCAGGCTGAATCCTATGCTTGGCATAATGAATGTACTTTTTAAGAAACTTGATTGTGAGGGTATCACGCTTCCGACCCCTTTCTGTTTTTTTCCCATGTAGCATACGGTTATACTTAACAAATACGGATGTGTCATTTTCATTTTCTTCTTCTCTTCCATATACTGAGCTCCCGTCAAGCATTGCGTCACCTGCACTTACAAGTAAAATTTATTTCATACTTCTTAAAAACCATAAAACTTAAGCAAGAGATTACTGCTTTACTACCTCCAGTTGCAGAACGATACCGATGCATGCGCAACACATGCTCTGAGACTTGGCGGTCAATATCAGGATCCATTTGATCCAATACAATAAACAGTAAATCAAAACGAGAAAGCAAAGAGTCTGGAAGTCCAATATTCTTTGTTGGTGTCAATGAACGGTCATACTGCGCATTCATACAAATACCAGCATTAGAAGAAAAAAAAAACTAAATTAAAAAAAACACAAAAGATTCAGAAAAAAAAAATTGCAAATATGTATTTAAATGGTTGTTGATGACCATTAGTTGTGCCACTTACAGAACCATATATGGGATTTGCAGCAGCCACCACACTGCATCGTGCATTGAGGGATGCATGGATACCAGCTTTGGCGATAGTTACAGTCTGCTGCTCCATAACTTCATGTATGGCAACACGATCTTGATCATTCATTTTGTCAAATTCATCAATACAGACAACACCACGATCAGCAAGAACCATTGCACCAGCTTCTAGCCTTCTCTCTCCTGATAACAGAGAGATTAGTAACTATATGCCTGCTAATAACATCTTATAATGCTAAAGTGCAACAGCAGGAGATGAATATGTTACAATACCTGTCTCTTGATCTGAAGTGACAGCAGCTGTCAAGCCAACACCAGAAGAACCCCGGCCCGTAGTAGATATTGCCAAGGGAGCGATATTCAGGATTGCTCTTAGAAGTTGAGACTTGGCAACAGAAGGATCACCAACCATCATCATGTTAATGTCACTAAAAGAAAAACGACATTGCCTTATCAAGATTCATTTTTATGCTAGAGGAGCACTTAGGCATGGCCTTAGAGCAAAAGGCAAAAGAAAAGAAAATAGAAAAGAGAAAAAGGGACGGATCAGATAGTTGAGCATAATTAAGACAGTTAAATATCCATCCAACACGTCAAGTTAGATCATAACTTACCCTCGTAGGTGAGTGCCATTCGTTAAGTTCTTTTCCATCCCACCAAGCATTAATAATATCACTGCTTTCTTTATCCATGAATGTCCATAAATAGAAGGTGCCAGTGAATTACCAAGCAGGTCAAATGTATCACCTCTGTCTGCTATCTTTTTTATGTTACTTATGTCATCAGGGCTGTAAATTGGTGCATTTGCTTCTTTGTTGAGCAGTGAAACATTGTTCGCTATGAGAACAGTCCTAAAAAAACAAGGCCCACAAGTCAAGTTTAAAACTAGAAAACACTATTGATAAGAGAAACCAAGACGATAGTTTAAGAAGTCATCATGGTTGAAGCTACCTGAATACTCCATTCACACTTCCCTTGCTTTTACCAGGAAGAGCTTTGTATATCCCTACAATTGCCACACGGTCTCCAGGTTTGCATGCATCAACCAGGTCGTCCTCAACTATGACATCTACAGTTCGCGGAAGCTGACCAGGCGCAGAATTCTCAGGAACTTCTTGCATTGATAAAGTTTGATGATCTTTGTATTTGCATAATCCATACTCAGTCACCAATAAGTTACCATTTTCATCCTGTGGCAATAGTTTTTTATAAGAGGCCCTTCTCCGATGATAGAAATAGATATCACTAAAGCAGAAACAATTGAGATTACCCTTGTTGGATAAACGGATCCTGTAGGCAAACCCATATTGGATGTAATGTCTCGGTATTCACGAGTGGTGAAGTTTCCAGTTGTAGGGCAGAAGTGAACACTTTTAACAACTTTTGGCCTCACAAGAGAACCTGCAAATGAGTTAATTACCAGCTTAGACTTGCCCATTCCTAATATTGCCGACAAAAATATTTCTTCATAGTTCATTAGCTGTACCGAAAATTAGGCAAAAGAAACAGCTTGAGGTTTATGGTTTTCTGGCCCAAATCAACACCACCCGGACCTCGAATTACCCAGAAAATCGTTCCCTTTTTTTTTTTCTAATCAAGAATGCTCATATTTGACACTTGAATTGAGAATGAAATGAAAGTAAAGTAGAAGGCAGAGG